TTGTTATTTTCAATTAACTTTTTAAATTGTTGAAAATTAATTCTCAATTGTTGATGGGAGACTTAATCTCTTTTGATCTAATTTTTTTTCCTCATCTAATCTACTTTTATTGTTACCTTTTTTAAAGGTTAATCTTATGGATTTTTAAATCATCATCATCATCAACAATCAACTAATGATTATCTTGATTGTGGTGTTGATTAAAATCCGTTACCATTTAATATATATATATTAACTGTCCAGCAATCAAATTAATCCATCAAATTTATTGGCCTCTTATCATCTTCCTGATTGGTTACAATTAAAAAAAAACAAAATGAAATTGATTGATTGGATGTAAACAAACCTTTAATTGTCAATTTGATTAGAATCAAATTAAAACTCATTGAGCTTTTATTTGAATAACAATCTAAATGAAAAGTTTCACTTTTAAATCATTAATATTTAACAATAGTCATTAAGATGTTGATGATGATGATTATGATTATAATTAAAGTACTTGAAACCTGTTATTTGATTGTTTACCTTTAATCATCATGATTAAACTTGATTGTTATTCATTTCTCATTACACCAAACCCATTAACACTGAAAATGACCTTAACTTTAAATTGTTGATTATTATTTAATTCTTGTTGATAATCATTTTTCACACAATTTAATATTTTTCATCGGTATAGTAACATTACAATTAATATCAACAATTTAAACAATTGTTCAACAATTAACTTAAAACTAAAGTTTATATAAACTTTGGAGATTGTTGTTTAAATTGTTAATCGATTAATGTTGTTAGTGGTTTAACCAAATCTAACCTTTTTTTTGATTAATTACTATGAATTAAAGGTTAATCATAATCTAGTTTAATTGTGATTAAAGGTAATGATAAATTTGTTGTTCTTGATGAGCTAAAATGCAATTAGTTGATTAAAACTCATCCCACAATCAAATGTTTTCATCATCTTAGTGATTCCTTCCTGATTCAATTTAATCAAAAATGGTAACAGTTAACAAATTAAAATCATTTATATTTAACTAATGATGATGATAATGGTGAGGATGATGATGACAAAGTCTCTCTCTCATCCCACCTCATCATCAACTTGATCTGCATCCTCATCATCATCATCATTAATGGACAATAATTAAGAATCATAAATGTGAATAATAAAAATGATAACGAAAAAAAAAATAGTTTATCATTTAGACAATTTAAATGATTAAAACTTTTCCATCAACTTAATCAACAACAATTTAATCGTGAAATTAATCATCATCACAATTAAGCGAAAAACTTGTGAATTTAATTTCTATTTGAAAAGTTTTTCGATCAAGTGAAAAAGTTTCGAAGTGAAAAGGAAAAAAAAAGTTCTAACTTATTCGAATGGTCTTTTTTGATTATAATAATATAACAATAACTTTCCAAAGTTAATCAACTTTTAGATTGATTGTTAATTGTTGACCAACTGATGATGACGGTGATAGATAAATGTACGATTAGATTGAAAAGATCAATTCGATTAAGAAGAAGGAGAAGAAAAGAAAAGAAGAAAAAAAAAAAGTTCGAGAAAAAAAGTTCTATTAAAATTGTGGTCAATCTAACGAAGGGCGTTTATGATGATTACAGTTTTGTCGATTAATTTATAATATAATAATCATTTCACACTTGATAATTATCGTTGTGATAATGATAATGGTGATGATAATGATTAATTGTCCCAATTTTAAATTGTCGATCAACTAATTAAGTAAAAAAGAAGAAAGAAAAAAAAAGTTGTTCCGTCGACGAAAAGTTCTAATCGTCAGTTCGTATCTAATTATCATCAAGATATTTAATATGAATTAACTAAATGATCCAATAAGAAATAAATTGTAATCATAATATCATTAAATTGTTATTAAAATAAACAACAATTCATTTATATATTGATATCGTTAGTTAATCATCTTGAGTTAATGAGTTCTGGTGAAGATGAAATAACAATAATTTTTCATGATAAATTGAATGATAATCTGATTATCATCAAGTCTAATGATGATGATGATTAAATTGCTGAAATGGATAGGAAATGATTATTGTTGATTGTTTGCTGATTGTTTCTATTAGTGTTATATTAGTTAATTATTACAATTTCTATCAGAAAATAAAAACATTCTGATTCTCATTCATTTCCTACTGAATTTTTTACCCTGTAGTCTGATTGTGATACTGATTCAGATTTCATGTTACAGTTAATTTAACAACTGATTTATGATCTAAATCAGGAAATAATTGGTTTAACAGATGATTAAAATTAAGATGATAATGATAGTGATAAAAAAAAAGTTTAGTTTAATTTGCGATTTAAATTGTTCAACTTAATTGTTGCCGTTTATGTTAATCATGGATCTTCAATAGGATAAAGAGTTGAATCCTGTTACCTCTTGATTGTTGTGAGTTAATCTTGATTGTTTGCAATCAATTTTAACCGGGAAAACATTTGACAACAATCAATTTAAACTTCTGATTGCCGGTGATCAGTTGTGATAAATTGTGATGATGATTATGATGATAATTTAATCAAATTACACACTTATCGTGACAAATCATAATCATTGATGATTGAGGTGTAAAAAAGTTTCAATTGTCAGTTAATTGTAATCAATTTGTCCTTATACTAGTATTAGGCATTGGTAAATTGTTGAAATTCACTGTTAATTGTGATTGAAGTGAAATTAAATTGTGATTTCATGATGAAAAGTGATGACAAACAGGAGATGATGTTACTGATATTCAATTCTGACAACTCAATGTTCATGTTTTCATCACCTTAACATATTATGTTACCTTTTTAATCAGATTCAGTTTCAATTTGAATTAAAAGTGAGATAAAGTCAACAGCCTCCTCCTCATCATTTTCATCATCATCCTAATCATCATACAATTTACATGATGATGATTAAATTAACATATTGTTGTTGTTGTTTACAGGCGTGAGAAAGACACTACAACTGATTAACAGTAATTTAAAATTCAATTGACTATTAACATAATTTACAAAATGTTCTGGTAAATTTATCTAATATATTTAATAGGAGATGATGTTGATCATCAGGCATCACTTTTGATTGTTGTTGTTGAGAATCAACAACAGCAACAATCAAGGTTGAGTGTAAACAATAATGTAAATTAAGTTTTAAAACAGAAAATTGAAGAAAACTGTAAAAAATTTAGCGAAAAATATTTACTGATTATTCAAATTAATCTTAATCTTAAATCATCATCATGTTAACCTTAACTATCTAGTGATGATAATGATGATAAAACCAGGTAAAAGTATTTACCTTTAGAAAGTTTTTCTTATTTTCCTTTCAACTGTAAAGTAATTGAGGGTTGGGTGCTAAGGTGTGGAGAGGGTCAATGAAGACAATCAACTGATGATCATGATGAAAAAAGGATGATGAAGATGCTGAAGATGATGAGGATGATGAATATTTACTGGATGATTTAACTATAATTAGCTACGATTAGAATCTATGTTTCTAATAAGTTGAGATCTTTATGATTATGGATTAAGAAAGAAGAAAAAAACTTGAAACTTTTATCAGAACTTTTTTTTTCTCTTCTACCCTCAGGGTAGTTTATCTTTATTTCCCTCATCCTTCATCATCTCAATAAGGGATCACATTCATTTCTTGTTATTTTCAAGAGAGAGAGAGAGAGAGAGAAGAAAGAAAAGAAAAAAGAATCTGAGAAAAAGTTCTGAAAAGAATAAGAAAAAAAAACTTTTATTCTCAATTTCCAAGGTAACAATTTATTCTCATTGTTTTCATAAATATCAAACTCTTTTCATCTTCCTCATCTTCATTGTGATGATGATAAATAAGTAAATGTTTTTTTAATGTATCTCCAGCTCCTTGAGAAGCTCATCATCATGATTAACCATTATGGTTAATATAATCATGATTAACTGGCTAAATTATCACCATTAACTTGTCTTCAAATTGTAATTTAAATGCAACAATTAGAAAAAAAAGTTTTCTGAAACAAACCATTGATTCAATAGCTGTAAAAACAACCACATGATTATCAATTGTTATATAATGGTGATGATGATGATGCTTTATGATAGTGATTAAAGTTAATTGTTTGGTCAGTTTTCAATTAACCTTGAAAATTTATGATTATATTTGTGTGTGTGTCTTTCAAGTGAATGAAATTTTAAATTATCTACGAGATGATCAATTACTTTTTCATTAATTGTCATCATTAATGAATCATGACCTTGCCTATTGACACTGACATCTAATTATTATATTAACTATTTAACTATTAGGTTAATTGTGGAAGAAATTAATTTATTTTTTTCGGATGCTGGTTAATTGTAATTAAGATTCAGTTACAATTTTTTCTTAATCTCTTCTCATTTAGTTAATCATAAGTTAATCAATTTTATTAAACGACTGCGAGTTCAAGTTAGATTGAAAGATTTGATTGTAATCAAGTTTTTCAGTGATCAAATTAAATCTTCATCTGATTGAAATGAAGAGAAAATTATTTTTCCAAAACTAATCAAGATACAATCAAATTTAATCATGTAAATTAAATGATAATAATAATAAAAAAAATTGATTCCCATTAAATTACAATCCAATAATCAGTAAATTAGCATTTAGGAAAAAAACAACAAATCAATAAGTAAAATGATAACTGAATCAAATTAAACTATTGGGTGGTCATTGATAATAACTGTTAATCACTTTGTTAATAGTTAATAATCAACCAATTTATGAATTAAATTGCGAAAAAAAGATAAAAATTGATTAATCAAAATTTATTATTAACAATTAATCCCCAATGTCAGATGATGATAATTAACATGAATTCTGATTTATTGATCTTCCTCCTTTTAATTTTCATGAAAAGATTATTAATTTTCTTGTTCTCTCTCTCTCTCTTTTTTATCATCCTCATCCTCATCCTTATCATCCTCATCATCTTTTATCATCTTCCACCCACAGGTTACCGATATTGCAAGATCGCTAACCGCTTGGCTTCAACTCAATGATTTTAATTCACTTAAATGGTTAACATGTTTCCGGTGTTCAGATAGGCAATCGGATCAAAATGCAATATTATTACTCTTTAGGGGACAGGTAAGCTTAATCACAATTAACTAACTTAACGCCAACACAATTAGTTAATCATAACAATTTTTAGACTTACAATTTTGTGGCTCATCACCAAATCCATTGACACATCTTAATCCATTCATCTTAATACAATAATAATATTGAAACAAGATTCGAGTGGTCAACTTGGACAACTGGACATTAGTTGGTGTGTATGTTGATATGTATCAAGTTAGAGGATCAAATTGATCATATTGTCACAATTTAATTAGTTTGGTGTTTAATTAAGACATTCATTTGATTGTTTTGTTTTGTTTCTCAACTGAATTAACAGTTAATTACATTAACCTTTTATTTTGTTTTTCTACTTCATTATTATTAAGTGAAAAATGTTGATTCGCGATTTGATTTGATTACTTTTGATTGATTGATCACGATTAAGGTGATTTCTGTTAATTTGATTGTCCATGATCAAGTTAATGATGATTGTTATTAAATATATTTCATGATGATTAAGTTAATCAGTATCTCGGCTCATCTTCCTTATTAGTTTAATCAAAGAGCAAAACTTGATTTAGATGCGAAAATATTTGAATCCATTTTGAATTTAAAAGAAAAAAAAAATTCAATAATTATTATCGATTTGATTTGATTGTGAACTGGTTTTAATAACCTAATATATTGTCAGAATTACAATTTATAATTAACTTGATCATCTTTATTTTGACGTTTATCGTAACGATTATTATGTTGATAATCAAGCAACAATTTTCTCAATGAATCTTTCATTGAGATGCTCATAATTCATGAGGGACGATATGAAATTAATGACAATTAACCCAAAGAATATGAGTAATTAAATTTACAGATAATTATTCGGTGTTAAATGATTAGCAACGATTAACATAATTATAGAAAAACAAAGATAATAAATGTGAATGAGAATAAGTATAAAATAAGAAGAAGAAAAAAGTTCTGAAAAAGTTTTTTCTTCTTATTCGATGTGTATAAATATAAATATGATGAAAGAATATAAGAAGATGATGAGGAAGATGAAGATGAAAATAGAGATGAAAGAGTTCAGAACTTAATCATCGTTGTTATTATTAATCTCGTTCTTCTTCCTGATCATCCTCAATTCGTAGGCTCACCCAATTGAAAACAGATCAATCGATAAAGATGAAGATGAAGATAAAAGGTGTGGCTGGTTGATTGAGTTCACGGTGTTGTTGTTATTCAATAATTGATGCTACTGAGATGAGGATGATTAAAGATGCTGATTCTCATCTTCCTGGTCACGGCAAAAGTATTTAAATGAACAAATTAAAAACCATTGATGATATACAAAGAAAACGATTTAAATCTTTATCCTAATCAAATCGTGGTTTCTATTGTTACAATCAAACGTTTCTTTTTAATCACCATCACCATCATCATCTTCATCTCCATCATCTTCATCTTCATCTTCATCTTCATTTTTAACAATATCATAAGAAGGTGAAGATGATTAGAAGAAGAAGAAAAATTTTCTATCGGATTAACGGGATGATTAGGATTATCTTTTTTTCCTCTATTGTAATTTGTTGTTTAATCTTCTTGTTTCGTTGTTGTTTTCTTGTCGTTAATCTTGTTTAACATTGTGATCAATGGCTTCTGATTGTTATTTAGCGGTTAGTTAGCTAATTGTGATAACAATCAGGTTAAACAATTTGATTTCCATCAGGTAAATTATCATGATAATGATGATGAGGCTTCTGTAAGTCACGAAATGATAAATCACAATCTAACAATTTAATCATCATCATCATCATCATCAACAGCAACAAATTGTACATTACCTTTAAATTGTAATAATTGTTATGATTCATGATTAAGTTAATTTGTTTTTTTATTATTATTTCGTTTAGTTAATCAATACGATATGAACATACAACTTTTCAACACCATTCAACTAATTATCACAATCATAACGGTAAATAAATAAATAACAACAACAACAACAACAATTAACTTAATCATAATCAACCAAAGAAAAGAAGAAACAAAATTAATTATCATTAGTTTAATTTTATTATTACAATTTGAGAGAAATTTTCTTCTTCTTCTTTTATTTAGAAAATTGTAAATAATTAATTGTAATATCATTGAGTTAATTGTCGATTTAGATTAACCTTCACTTTTGAACAATTTGTTTTAATTCCTCGAAATATGTTGATTAATAGTTTTTCGGGATAATTTATTCAATCAATTGATTGTTACCTTTAGAAAGTAAATTCTGATTAATCAACCAAACATGGTTTATATATATTAAATTGTTGTTGATTGATAAATGTTAGTTTAATTCAGAAAATCAATTTCCTAACCTTAACTTAATTTTAAAAAAACGTAATCATTAACAATTTATACTGATTGTGATTAACGGGATAATTTAATGTTGTGTTGAGATTTATGATACGATGTTAATAATATCAAGGGTTGATTGAAATTCAAATTGATTACAATAACAATTAAATTGCCAATCCGATGAGAATTAGTAAATTATTTTTCTCGCCAAATTTCATTCATTAATTTGGCTTCTCTCTCATTCACTTGATTAAGATTTCAAGGTGTGTCCAGGTAATTCACACTCGCCAAGGGTCAAGCTATTGTAACAATCAGGTCAAATCATCGTTGTATAATAATATAATATAAATATCACTGATTAGCTAATCATTTACAATTTAAATTGATTCAGCTTCTGTTTCAATGAATTACTTTTAATTGTGAGGAGTGAATTTGAAGTAAAAAAAAATTGATTTTAACACAATTAAACCTTTAAAAGTTTCAATGTTGTTTGATAAATACACAATCAATTTGTATTATAAACAATTAAAAATTGGTTCAATTAACTATCATACAACAATTAACTCTTATTGATGGACAGTTATGGTGAAATTAAATTGTATTAATCATCAATTATGATGATGATTTGATTGAGAGAGAAATGATCCTCAGGGTTTTTACAGGAAAATGGAAATTTATTCAAACCAATACAATGGAGTTTAATTGTGGAGGAAAAAGAAAAGTTAATTGTAAATGGATTAACTCAATTAATTGGTTATCGATATGTTATGATATTCAATTTGAAGTTAATAATTGTGATTAATTTACGTCGGCGACAGTAAATAAGATATGAAAGAGAAAATGAATGAATCGGATTCTGATTAGAAAATGGCGAAAAATATTTTATTCTTGATGATAAATATTCTGTATCTTCGACACCCAATACCAAGCCCAAACCTGAAAACCGGAATTATGATGATAATGATGAAGATGAAGATAAGAAGGAAAATGTAACAAAGAGAGATGAGAAAGAAGAAGAAGAAAAAAGAAATTCTTTTCAAGAGAAAAATATTGATTCAATTCTGAAATGAGTGAGAGAGAAAAGAGATAATCTCTTCAGAATTGGAATAACCTTATTCATTTAATGTTACCTTTCAATGGATAACAGTTTTTTTCTTATTGATTCATTCAAGGCAATTGACCAACAATCAACTTACAATTCAACTAAATTGTTGTTGTGGTGGTTGTTAAGGTTGATGATGATGATAAAGGTGAAGATGAGGATGAAGATGAGGATGAAAAAGATGAAGGTTCCTCTCGTTTAATTATCTCCATCTCTCTCTCTCTCTCTCTCTCACTCAAAGCTTCCCTTAGAGAGAAACACTTTTTTTTTCTTGATTGCTGTTAATCTAATCAAGTCTATTGTCACGATTAGAATTAATCTCTTTTCTCTCTCACATTGAGCTTTTAATTGTAATCATTTGGTCTTAATTGTTGTTGTCTTTTTTTCTCTCTTTTTCATTTGTTGATTTAAGGATTAGATTTTAGTTATTGACTTACACACACATCCCAAGAACTTAATCAGACAATTAATCCGTTAACTCGTTCAATCATCAGAAATCCTTGTAGAACTTTATTTCCATTACTTTCATGATTCCATCAATTCTTGAATCACATTGACCAATTATTATTATTATAGTTTAATAATATTGAAGTGTATCAATTTGTTTTAATTGAATGAAAATTGAATGATCTGAATAAGTGAATGATGATTAAAGGATGAGGAAAATTTTCTGATAACATGAATCGCCATCATGATTGGCAGCATATCCTTGTTTCACTTTCAGAATTTCCATCAATCTTTTTTTTACGATTTTTCAGATTTTTCCTTTAACATTCAGCCTCACCCTTTTCATCATCATCATCATCATCATCTTCAAATCCAGTTGATCTAATTTTTATCTTTTCTTTCTCATCTATTACTTTCCTTTTCTTAATCTTTCATTTTCATCTTCATCATTAGTGAAAAAGATAAGGATGAAAATCCTATCATCTTAATGATTTTTATTTTCTCTTCATTCAAAACAATGATGATGATGAGATGATGATGGAGACTTTTTCTTTCTCTCTCTCTCTCTCTCTCTCTCTCTCTCTCTCTCTCTCTGCTCGAAAATGCTCATTATCATGAAAACTTTTTCTTCTATCATGGATTCTGAATAAGGAAATTTTTTCACTTTCCAATTGAATTTCGAAAAATTTTCTTTCTTTTTTCTTCTCTTCATCTTTTCCAATCAGTTAACAGTTATGTTAATTGTCTTCCAAGGTGGAGTCGAAACTGTTTCCATCATCATCATGTACTTTTTTATAGGTTATATATACATTATCATTCTGAGTAACATCCTCTTCTGGTGAAGATGATCATCATGATATTGAGCAATTGAGCAATACACGAATGAAACTGAGGATGCTCATGATAAAGACCCCACTTCCTCATCCTCATCTTCCTCCTCCTCCTCCTCCTGTTTATCCTCATCTTTCCCATATCCTAAACTTCATCTTCATTTTCATCTTCATCCTGAGCATCATGAGGAAAAGTAGGTTGGGTTTTTTTGTTGCTTTGTTCTCAACTATCTGAATCTAGAATCAGAATTATGATGAATTTATAAATAATATAAATTCAATGATAAAAATCGTGAATCAAA